ATTTCTTGTAATTCTTATAAAGCTACCTCTGAGGAGAGGGGGGGGGGGTGCAGCCGAAATTGAGATGTGGGTCGCTGGCAAGTTGTTTGTAGGGAGAGAGTGGAGGAGACTAAGGCAGGACCACTGGGAGTTAGAAAACAGATGTGTAACGGGCGCAGTGATCGACGTTATGGGCGGCCCGGGCTATAAGGACGCGAAGTGTTGAGAAAGTTATGTTAAATGATGAGACGGAGCCGTGTGAGCATCCACCAGGGCGGTGAGAGGGGTGGGGGGCCAGGGCGGCGGTGAGGGGGGGCCAGGGCGGCGTTGAGGGGGGGCCAGGGCGGCGTTGAGGGGGGGCCAGGGCGGCGTTGAGGGGGGGCCAGGGCGGCGGTGAGGGGGGGCCAGGGCGGCGGTGAGGGGGGGCCAGGGCGGCGTTGAGGGGGGGCCAGGGCGGCGTTGAGGGGGGCCCAGGGCGGCAGTGAGAGGGGGTCTAGGGGGGCGAGCCAGGGCGGCGGTGGGGTGGGGGGGCGAGCCAGGGCGGCGGTGGGGGGGGGGGGGGGCGAGCCAGGGCGGCGGTGGGGGGGGGGGGGAGCGAGCCAGGGCGGCGGTGGGGGGGGGGGGGGGCCAACATTGACAAGTTCTCACGCTGACAGCAGTAACCGTGGGAGCCCGAGGCGGTCGAGCTACGCAAGCCGTCCATCTCGCCAGCGACACCTGCCGTTATCCGCATCAAAAACCTCTCTTGTGGTGCCCCCCGCGGCTGGTCCGCCGTCTCCCACACAGTTTTAGGGCCATCTCCACACAACGTGGTACGCCTTCGTGGACCTTCTCCGGATGTGGGAAGTCTTCAGTTTCAACCAGAACTTCAGTGTATCTGACAAACTCATTAACATCTTAATTGTATATCAAGACAATAAAAGAACAACCAGGACAACCGTCACCCGAGATGATAAATCAAACAAGACAAAAATCTCAACCAACAAGATAATTACAGGCCAAACTAGACATTTTTACAACTTTCAAGACAAAATCAACCCCATGAAGACTTTAATTAACAATCCTACTACACAAGTCACTTGTGCTGTCCCGTCTTGAGTACTGCTTAGTACTCGCTTTTCCCTTCAGAGCAGGAGAGATTGTTGAAATAGAGGGAATACAGAGAACATATACGGCATACATAGACGCGATAAAGCACCAAAATTATTGGAATCGTCTCAAAGCTCTCCAAATGTACTCACTAGAAAGGAGACGAGAGAGAGATACCAAATAATATACACATGGAAAATACTGGAGGGCCAGGCCCCTAATCTACACAGTAAAATAACATACTGGAGTGAACGATATGGAAGAAAATGCAGGATAGAACCAGTGAAGAGCAGAGGTGCCATAGGCACAATCAGAGAACACTTTATAAACATCAGAGGTCCGCGGTTGTTCAACATCCTCCCAGCGAGCATAAGAAATATTACCAGAACAACCGTGGACGTTTTGAAGAGAAAACTGGGTAGTTTTCTTCAAGACGTGCCGGACCAACCGGGCTGTGGTGGGTATGTGGGCCTGCGGGCCGCTCCAAGCAACAGCCTGGTGGACCAGACTCTCACAAGTCAAGCCTGGCCTCGGGCCGGGCTTGGGGAGTAGAAGAACTCCCAGAACCCCATCCAGGTACTATGACAACCACACCCACCATGACAACCACACCCCACCATGACAACCACACCCCACCATAACTACTACCCCCCACCACCATCACAATAACCATGTAAGGGGAGCTGGAGAGTGACTGCCAGAAGGTAGACACTTGTACACCGCCTCAATATACAGTTCTAGCGTCAATCACTAACATCACTCAAACACAATTCTCCTCCAGACGGTCTTCACACAGAAACTTACTAGTCTCTTGCTTTAAATTATCTTGATGCTGGTTTTATAGACGGCGCCAGCTGCACGCTAATGTTAGAGAAGTCCACTGACGACAGCAATATTTTAGTTAAACGTGTTTTGTGTGCGCGCGTGCGTGCGTGCTTATGTTCCCTTGCGTAATGCTTTTTAGGCAGACTTGCATAACAAGCCGAATTTCCTCCATCATTTTGTCGATAATTATTGAAAAGTCTTTCTTTTATTATTCATTATAAAAAAATTCATAAAAGTCATTCATTTATTAAAGATAAAGTCATTCACTTCAACAATTCTGGACCAAAACTAACTCAGCAACATGTCCTAACGTAAACAGGTCGATTATTCCTCAATGCTGCATAACTTACCTAGAGGTGGTTCCTAGGACTAATGTCCCCGCGGCCCGGTTTCAACCAGGCCTCCTGGATAGTGATCTGGTCAACCAGGCTGTTAAGACACCGATGCTCGCAGTCAGACATGAATTCAAAACCCTGTTGATCAAGCATCCTTCTGTGGGGGGTTTATCAAGCTTAGATTAGCTAAGTTATGCTCCTTAACACTGAGAGCGTGTTGAAGTATCTTGGGGGTCGCAATGTTTGAGAGAGAGAGAGATATACAAGAGTTGTTACATTCTTGTACAGCCACTAGTACGCGTAGCGTTTCGGGCAGGTCCCTGGAATACGATCCCCGCCGCGAAGAATCGTTTTTTCATCGAAGTACACATTTTACTGTTGCGTTAAACAGAGGCTACAGTTAAGGATTTGCGCCCAGTAAATCCTCCCCGGCCAGGATACGAACCCATGACATAGCGCTCGCGGAACGCCAGGCGAGTGTCTTACCACTACACCACGGACTGTTAATGGAACTGCATGTTGCTCTGTTCATTATGCCCCTCTACTCTTCAACGGGGCTAATTTGCACATTCTGACATATCCTTATTTAGGTTTTTAAAGACGCTCTTATGTTTGCCACCTTCCCATATGCCGCCAATGTTACCCTGTTTTTGTGTGTGCCTTCCGTGTTAGCGTTCGAATTATATCCACGCCCAAATCTTTTTCTTATCTTACCGACTCCTGTCGTTGCCTTCCCATTATGGTGTAGATACCTCCTGGTCTCCTCTACCCCCCTATGCCTACCTTCATTACTTTACACTTGTGTCGTGTGAATTATTCGCAGACATTTCTCTGCCCACTCCTGGAGTCTATCGAGGTCCTGCTGTAACTTTCTACAATCCTCCTCTGTTTTTACACTCCATTATTTTTTGCATTGACAAACATGGCCACGTACGAGCTTACGAGCTGTTAGGTCATTCATATAAGTTAAGAATAGCAACGGCCCCAGTACAGAGCTTGATACTATCACTGACTGTGACTTGTTCAGGTTCTCCCTTGCCCAAAATTAACTGTTTTCCCAGTTAGTACAGCTTGTTCCTCTAATATATAAATATAAATAATTTACTATTCGTCATTTATTCACTCTCACTACATTATACAACGAACCGGTTATAATCAGAGAGGCAAGTGCACACAATGTGTACAAAATTACTCTCCTGTCCAGGAACTCTTCTAATATTATGTTAAGAAACATCAAAACTGCCCAACTTTAGAAATAGCGTGTATTTACTACTTGTGCTTGCGGAATCGAGCTATGAGCTCTTGGACTCCGACTTTCTAACCGATATAGTTTTTCCTCTATGTCAACTACATATATTTATAACACACGCATCACCAGGAAGCAAACCGTAGCAGCTGTCTAACTCCCCAGGTATCTATTTACTGCTAAGTGAACAGGATGATCAAGGGAAAGGAACTCTGCCCATTCGATTTTATGCCTCAGCCGGGAATCGAACCAGGGCCATTAGGACTACGACCCCCGAGCGCTGTCTACTCAGCCGCGAGGCTCCCTGCATGTAATGTATTCACCAAGTTGTATTCACCTAGTTGTGCTTACGGGGGTTGAGCTCTGCTCTTTCGGTCCCCCTCTCAACTGTCAATTAATCAACTTGTTACTAACTCTCAACCGTCATACTTGTTGTGATACTCAGATCACAACTTAATTGAAGTTCTGACAAGCATGGGGAATGGACCTTCAAAACCAGTCCTGATTCCCAGTGGAGGAGATTTCAGCAAATTCAACTTTAATAATAAACAGATAAACTGGGAGCAAATAAACCAGGACTTCACAGACATAAGCTGGGAAGAACAGCTAGAAAATGCAAACCTGAACCAGTGCCTGGAAATATTAGCTCAGTAGCACTAGAAATATGCTCAGGCCGCATACCCCTAAGAAAACAGAGGAAGAGATGCAGATTGGAACGGGAACGTCGTTCCCTATATAGGCGAAGAAAACGAATTGCGGAAACAACTTGAGAGTCGCACCCTATCTCAAGAACGGCGAAGAAGGTTAGGTAGAGAAATAGAAACAATTGAACGGAAGCTACAAGAATCATACAAAATCCAGGAAAGGCAAAGAGAGCAAAAGGCCATCAGTGAAATAGAGAGAAATCCGAAATATTTTTTCTCCTATGCAAAATCAAGATAAAAAACCACATCTAGTATCGGACCCCTGCGAAAGGGAGATGGAACTTTCACCGATGACAACAAAGAAATGAGCGAGTTACTGAGGAAGCAGTACGACTCTGTTTTCAGCGAGCCATTAAACGCACTAAAGATTGATAACCTAAATGAATATTTCATGGATACCAACATCAAATCATTTATCAGATGTCACTCTATCCCCACTGGATTTTGAAGAAGCAATAGACAATATGCCTATGCACTCTGCACCAGGCCTTGATTCTTGGAACTCTATATTCATCAAGAACTGTAAAAAGCCACTATCGCAGGCCCTTCACATTCTTTGGAGACAAAGCCTAGATACTGGCATTATCCCTGACATACTAAAAACAGCAGAGATAGCACCACTCCATAAAGGAGGAAATAAGGCAGAGGCAAAAAATTACAGACCGCCCTAACATCACACATCATAAAAATCTTTGAGAGAGTGCTAAGATCACAAAATATATGGAATCACAGCATCTCCATAACCCCGGACAACATGGTTTCAGAACTGGGCGCTCTTGCCTGTCACAGTTGCTGGACCACTATGACATGGCACTAGATGCCATGGAAGACAAACTAAACGCTGAGGCAATTTCAGCACGACCTCCAAAAATGAGGAGGTAAATATAACAGCCCCATAAGTGCAATTATGTACTATGTATGACAGTCAGGAAATGTACTTATTATACTTAGTATTAAAATGTACTGTCAATTCGGAGGTTGGGTTGTGTAATTTACACAGATTTCGCAAAAGCCTTCGACAGATGTGACCATGCTGTTATTGCACATAAAATGCGTTCAAAAGGAATTGCCGGAAAAATAGGCAGCTGGATCTACAATTTCCTGACTAATAGCACCCCAATGTGTAGTAGTCAACAAAATCAAATCGGGTCCATAACCGTAAAGAGCTCAGTCCCCCAGGATACTGTGGTTGCTCCAGTACTTTTTCTCATCCTCATATCGGACACAGACAAGGACACAACCTATAGTACAGTATCATCCTTTGCAGATGACACTAGGATTTTTATGAGAGTAGACAACACAGAGGACACAGCAAACCTCGAATCGGATGTAGATCAGGTCTTTCAATGGGCTACAGAAAATAACATGGTGTTTAACGAAGATAAGTTCCAGCTCATGCGCTACGGAAAAAAAGAAAATATAAAAACGGAAACCACATACAAAACGCAGTCGAAACATAACATAGAACGAAAAGGCAATGTAAAGGACCTGGGTGTACTCATGTCGGAAGACCTTACATTTAAAGAACACAATAAAGTAGCCGTCACAACTGCAAGAAAAATGACAGGTTAGATAACAAGAACCATTCACACTAGAGATGCTATACCAATAATGATACTCTTCAAGACGCTAGTGCTCTCTAGAGTGGAGTACTGCTGCACAATGACAGCCCCTTTCAAAGCTGGAGAAATTGCTGACCTGGAGAGCGGGAGACCTCCCTAGATGTGCGTGCAAGGGGCTGAGATCATCTCAAGTTCAAAGTAATGAAGATGGGTGCAGGGGGCCAAAAGGTCACGACACTGTACCAGTTGGGAGGAAAGACCTTCCTTGGCGTCTGGCAAAGGTCATCCCAGACCTCCGCGCGGTCTGGTATGACCTCCCGGAGGTCAAGGTCATACCAGACTTGTCATGTTACTTGGTTTGTACACATCTCGTCTGCTACATATGCAGATCTCTCCAACATAAGAACTTGTTGCATAAATCTAGACAAAGGGCCTCTCTTAAATCTGTACATCACGTATGACATACCAATTCTAGAGAATGCAGCGCCAGCAAAGAGCCTTTACCGCATTACCTTTAGCTCCAGAGGCGAGAGCTAAAACAATACAAGACTAAATCCAATCTGTCGTCCCTGGAGAGGACGACATCAAGTTAGTCATCAAACACAGACACTCACCAAAGGTAACACACCAAAGGTAACACACCAAAGGTAACACACCGTGTGTATTCCCCTGGTCACACATGACCAAGGGAACATACATAATACACGTCATAGAACATACACGTCACGTCATAGTTATCTTGAGGGTATCTTGAGATGATTTCGGGGCTTTAGTGTCCCCGCGGCCCGGTCCTCGACCAGGCCTCTTCCACCCCCAGGAAGCAGCCCGTGACAGCTGACTAACACCCAGGTACCTATTTTACTGCTAGGTAACAGAGGCACAGGGTGAAAGAAACTCTGCCCATTGTTTCTCGCCGGCGCCTGGGATCGAACTCAGGACCACAGGATCACGAGTCCAGCGTGCTGTCCGCTCGGCCGACCGGCTCCCTAGTGCCCACATCCATCACATGAATATTTGAAAACCAAAAATAAAAAAAAACATGTTCCAGGATAGTGAAGCGGACTGACGCCCTCGTGGCAGGCTTCACCATACACAAGAGTAGACGGTAACTGTGACAAGACCCCTACCCCCCCTCCCCGCCAAAGGGTCAAGAAAAAAGAATCAGATACAGCCGTTAACTGACGGTTTGGGAGGGAGACAAGGCACGAAGCTGTGCCACGCAGGCGCAGTTAAGTCAGTGCCTGTAGCTCATTACACACGCACCTCCCCACCACCGCCCTCCACAACTGCCCGTTAGTGACACACACACACACACACGCTCTACACACTCCACGATAACGTTCACACACTCACACACACACACCAGTTGATTGACAGTTGTTAAGAGACGGGACCAAAGAGCCGAAGCTCAACCCCCCTCCCCCCCTCGCAAGCACAACAAGGTGATTACACGCACTCGCCCACAAGCACTCAGTTCTCACACTTACACACCTGCAAAAATTGAGAGGAAAGTAGTCAACCCTGAGGAAAAGTAAGGAGACAGGGCCGCGTGGACGTTGATCCTCAAAATCATCTCAAGTAAGGAACTTTATTTCTTGAATTGTTTTTATTATTTCTTCAATCTGGAATGAATGTTTAAATGTTTACCTTTTCTCTGATTACCATTTTTTTTTTATCTCCCTGGAAGATGTTCAGTAACTCTCACTCTTCTCCAAACAGAAATTCTATGCAGAACAGTATAAAGTGCCATCTACACCTTCGTGGAAATAAGATCACAGTTCAGGTGAACAGAACAGTATGCTTCGACGTTCATTATCTTCCAGCATTGTATCCCAGGAAGATAATGTTCAATATTCGGATTTCTAGGCAGTTTTAAATATTCACATCTGCACAAAAGAGAATAATTACTACATTTAGGCTCTCTGCTTCTCTTCCCTTCATCCTTCTGCAGATCAAGTTCACGTATGTTTATTGAGACAAGAGTGAAATACATCTCAGAGGGATAGAGTAGCTTAAACTATTTCTACCCGCCCTTTTTGCAGATACTTTCCTTTAATTTTGCATTGTCTATCACTACTGTGTTACTTGTCCTTTTGCCGTATCAAACCGTCTTTAAACGTTGTGAAAAGAAATAGAGAAAGCGTCTCCATGACTAGCAGAAGATGCCCATGTTGTCCACTTGTCATTATTACTGTGACGTAAGGACCAGGCCGGAGCGAACCAGTCACGTCCAAACCCCAGCCAAGTTTATAGTGGTAATGGCTTGGCGCTTCCTCTTGATAGTTCCCTTCCCTTCTAAACCCGACCAAAGTGCCGAGGCAGGAGGCGGGTGAGGCAGGAGGCGGGTGAGGCAGGAGGCGGGTGAGGCAGGAGGCGGGTGAGGCACGAGGCGGGTGAGGCACGAGGCGGGTGAGGCACGAGGCGGGTGAGGCACGAGGCGGGTGAGGCAGGAGGCGGGTGAGGCACGAGGCGGGTGAGGCACGAGGCGGGTGAGGCACGAGGCGGGTGAGGCACGAGGCGGGTGAGGCACGAGGCGGGTGAGGCACGAGGCGGGTGAGGCACGAGGCGGGTGAGGCACGAGGCGGGTGAGGCACGAGGCGGGTGAGGCACGAGGCGGGTGAGGCACGAGGCGGGTGAGGCACGAGGCGGGTGAGGCACGAGGCGGGTGAGGCACGAGGCGGGTGAGGCACGAGGCGGGTGAGGCACGAGGCGGGTGAGGCACGAGGCGGGTGAGGCACGAGGCGGGTGAGGCACGAGGCGGGTGAGGCACGAGGCGGGTGAGGCACGAGGCGGGTGAGGCAGGTCACACTTCCTTCCATCCCCACTACTGAACCAGTACGTCTGGGTCCCCTCACCTTGGCCAGTTCCCCTCGGAGCGCTGAAGTCTCTGCACGTTCCTAATTTGAAGACTTGTTATGCGTGATATAATGGCGGGCGTGTTGCCCCCCTGCCCCATGACCCCCCCCCCCTCCCCACTCCAGGCACCGCTACTCAACCTCACAACACACACACCACATATCTCCGCGGCTGACCTTTGACCTGTACCAATAAACCTGATCTAGAACTCTACAAATATCCCGGCAGCGACGCAAAATGCATTGTATGCGTTCTGCAGTCCACCCACACGCCCGTAAAGCCATGATAAATGACTGTAAACAGTTTATACACTGAATGCAAACAGGTGATAATGTGAGGCACGTGGAACGGCCCTCCTCTGCCCAGTCCTGCATGCCCAGGTATATACAGTTAACTGCTTCCTATTTTGTCATTCACTAATCTGTCTCTACCTCAGCTTTGTTTCTGCTTTAAAATCACGTCAGAATTAAGCCAAATACAAGCGTCGTTTCACTCTCCGTTTTCAGTTACTGTTGAACATAACATCTGGTTTTCATTATCTGTCCTTTAAATGCAACTGGTGTTCAATACCTGTCCAGGACTACGGCGACTAGTAGTGTCGTCGTCACCACACCCCAACACCCTCCCCCCCATCATCAACAATTTTACCTGATAGGGTGATGCCCTACCCACCCTCACTACACAACCAGGGTCACTGCCCCCCAACCCACCACACCCACACACTTGTCGACACCTCCATCGCCAGAACCACACCCTACCTTCACCACACTTACACCTCTTTCCTTAAAACAACAACTTTTATAGAAATATTTCCTAATACACACACACATCTTGAGCCACATCAAACACACACACTAAATGAGCCACAGAGATATTAGAAAGAACTTTTTTTCAGTGTCAGCAGTTGACAAATGGAATGGAGTAGGAAGAGATGTGGTTGAGGTTGACTCCATACACAGTTTCAAGTGTAGATATGATAGAGCCCAATACGCTCAGGAACCTGTACACCAGTTGAGTGACAGTTGAGAGGCGGGACCAAAGAGCCAGAGCTCAACCCCCGCAAGCACAACTAGGTGAGTACACACACGCTAGTCTAGCTACCTTAACCACGAACATTACCCACCTGGCCCTCGACCCACCAGACTCCAGCCTTCCTGGTCTAGTCCAGAGGTGGACCTCGAGGCCCCAGCATGAGGGCGACACCCGCCACAATGCCTCAGATCTAGGGGGTCATCTCGGGCTTGTCTACAGGTCACCAGTGGAGCTGGGGCGGTGGCGGGAAGGCATGTCAGGAATGGCCAGGTACTCGACCCAACTCTCGAAATAAACCTCCACCACCAAGGCCAATGTTGTTTTTCTTCAGTTTCTTCCTCTTCCCCAGGACTCAGCTTCCTCCTCCTCATCCTCTTTCCCCTTTAACGTCTTCCCCACCACCTGTGTATCTTCCCCAAGTCCTAAACTCCTCCCCAAGAATGGTCTTGTAGTTTGATACCTGCCTGATGGGGTTCTGGGAGTTCTTCTACTCCTCAAGCCCTGCCCGAGGCCAGGCTTGATTTGTGATAACTTGGTCCAGCAGGCTGTTGCTTGGAGCGGCCCGCAGGCCCACACATCCACCACAGTCCCAGTTGGGTCCGGTACTTCTTGAATTAAACTATCTAGTTTTCTCTTGAAGATGTCCACGGTTGTTCCGGCAATATTTCTAATACTCGCTGGGAGGATGTTTATACAGTGTTCTCTGATTGCACCTATGGCACCTCTGCTCTTCACTGGTTCTATTTTGCATTTCCTTCCATATCGTTCACTCCAGTATGTTGGTATTTTACCGTGTAGATTTTGGACCTGGCCCTCCAGTATTTTCCATGTGTATATTATTTGATATCTCTCTCGTCTCCTTTCTTGTGAGAACATTTGTAAGACTTTGAGACGATTCCAATAAGTTAGGTGCTGTATCGCGATATGCCGTATATGTTCAATGTATTCCCTCTATTTCAGCAATCTCTCCTGCTCTGAAGGGGGGGAAGTGAGTACTGAGCAGTACTCAAGACGGGAGAGTACAAGTGATTTGAAGGGTACAACGAATTGTGATGGGATCCCTGGATTTCAAAGTTTTCGTAATCCATCCGATCATTTTTCTGGCTGACGCAATATTTGCTTGGTTATGCTCCCTAAACGTTAGGTCGTCGGACATCATTATTCCAAAATCTTTAACATGCTGCTTTCTTACTATGGGCAGATTTGATTGTGATTTGTACCCTGTATTATGTTTAAGGTCCTCATTTTTACCGTACCTGATTCCCTGGAATTTATCACTGTTAAACATCATATTATTTTCGGCTACCCAGTCGAAAACTTTATTAATCTGTTTGTAGTTTTTCAATGTCTTCAGCAGCCCTAATTAAGGCCCAAGACTAGGCCTTGGGTTCAAGTAGGCCCAAGACTACTTCCATTCTTCGAGCAAAGCACACATTTTTATTCCCCAGATTCAAAAAAATCCAAAAATAATCCCCAGATCAACAGACCAGCCAGCTTTCCTCTCCACCCCCACCATCTTACCTGATAGGGTGACCAGGACACCCCTCCCCCCATCCCCTATATTGTCCAGGACAAATTCCCTTCTTAACTGTCAAGGGCACAACACAACCCTCCTGCATTATCCAGGACAACACCCCCCCCCTGTACCGTCCAGGACCTAACACCCCTTCTACCGTCCAGGACCTAACACCCCTTCTACCGTCCAGGACCCAACACCCCTTCTACCGTCCAGGACCCAACACCCCTTCTACCGTCCAGGACCCAACACCCTCTCTACCGTCCAGGACCCAACACCCTCTCTACCGTCCAGGACCCAACACCCTCTCTACCGTCCAGGACCCAACACCCTCTCTACCGTCCAGGACCCAACACCCTCTCTACCGTCCAGGACCCAACACCCTCTCTACCGTCCAGGACCCAACACCCTCTCTACCGTCCAGGACCCAACACCCTCTCTACCGTCCAGGACCCAACACCCTCTCTACCGTCCAGGACCCAACACCCTCTCTACCGTCCAGGACCCCAACACCCTCTCTACCGTCCAGGACCCCAACACCCTCTCTACCGTCCAGGACCCAACACCCTCTCTACCGTCCAGGACCCAACACCCTCTCTACCGTCCAGGATACAACACCCTCTCTACCGTCCAGGACCCAACACCCTCTCTACCGTCCAGGACCCAACACCCTCTCTACCGTCCAGGACCCAACACCCTCGTCCCTGAGTCCGCCAGACACAGCACCAGATGGTATCGTGTGTGATCCAAGAGCCAGCGTCAGGCCGGGTATCTCCGGGCTGGTATGTATCTACTTTATTTTGGTACTGCCAACAGATACCATGTTCAGAGATGGGCGAGACAGATTGAGTTCTGTCTCTCTTCTGTCGGAGGTGGAGTGTTGCCAGAGCTGCAGCTGCTCCTAGTGTTGTTGCTAGTGCTGTTGTTACTTTTGCTGCAGCTGCTCCTAGCGCTGTTGTTGTTAGTGATACAGCTGCTCCTAGTGCTACCTGGTTGATAGGGTTCTGGGAGAAGTTTTACTCCCCAAGCCCGGCCCGAGGCCAGGCTTGACTTGTGAGAGTTTGGTCCACTAGACTGTTGCTTGCAGCAGCCCGCAGGCCCACATACCCACCACAGCTCGGTTGGTCCGGCACTCCTTGGAGGAAACTATCTAGTTTTCTCTTGAAGATGTCACTGTTGTTCCGGCAATATTTCTTATGCTCGCTGGGAGGGTGTTGAACAACCGTGGACCTCTGATGTTTATACAGTTCTCTCTAATTGTGCCTATGGCACCCATGCTCTTCACTGGTTCTATTCTGCATTTTCTTCCATATCGTTCACTCCAGTATATTATTTTACTGTGTAGATTTGGGACCTGGCCCTCCAGTATTTTCCACGTGTATATTATTTGATATCTCTCCCGTCGTCTTTCTAGAGAGTACATTCGAAGAGCTTTGAGACGATCCCAATAATTTAGGTGCTTTATCTCGTCTATGCGTGCCGTATATGTTCTCTGTACTCCCTCTATTTCAACAATCTCTCTGCTCTGAAGGGGGAAGTGAGTACTGAGCAGTACTCAAGACGGGATAGCACAAGTGATTTGAAGAGTACAACCATTGTGATGGGATCCCTGGATTTGAAAGTTTTCGTAATCCATCCTATCATTTTCCTGGCTGTCGCAATATTTGCTTGGTTATATCTCTAAAATATAGGTCGGCAGACATTATTATTCCCAAATCCTTTACATGTTGCTTTCCTATTATGGGTACATTTGATTGTGTTTTGTATCCTGTATTATGTTTAAGGTTCTCATTTTTACCGTATCTGAGAACCTGGAATTTTTCGCTGTTAAACATCATGTTATTTTCTGCTGCCCAGTCGAAACTTTATTAATATCTGCTTGTAGTTTTTCAATGTCTTCAGCAGATGTAATTTTCATACTGATTTTTGTCATCTGCAAAGGATGATACGAAGCTGTGCCTTATATTTGTGTCTATATCTGATATGAGAATACGGAAAAGCAGTGGTTCAAGGACTGTACTGAACTTTTAACTGCGCTTGAACTCTATTTTATATGGTTGACTGTTACTCTCTGTGTTCTGTTCGATAGATAACTGAGTAGCCAACGTCCTACTTTACCAGTTATTCTCATTGACCTCATTTTGTGTGCTATCACTCCATGGTCACATTTATCGAATGCCTTTGCGAAATCCGTGTATACGATATCTGCATTCTGTTTTTCTTCTAATGCCTCAGTGATTTTGTCGTAATGGTCAAGTAGCTGTGAGGCGTGATCTTCCCGCTGTAAATCCATGTTGGCCTGGATTGTGGAGGTCATTGGTCTCCATGAAACTAGTGACCTGACTCCTGATCACTCTCTCAAATACTTATATTATGTTAGACGTTAGTGCAACTGGTCTATAATTCTTTGCCAATGCTTTGCTACCTCCCTTGTGTAGAGGGGCTATGTCTGCTGCTTTAAGCGCATCTGGTATCTCCCCCGTGTCCAAGCTCTTCCTCCACACTATACTGAGTGCCTGTGCTACCGGCACTTTGCATTTCTTTATAAATATTGAATTCCATGAGTCTGGACCTGGGGCCGAGTGCATAGGCATATTGTCAAGTGCTACAACTGCTCCTAGTGCTCTTGCTGCTGTTGCTACAGCTGCTCCTAGTGCTGTTGTTGCTGGTGCTGCAGCTGGTCCTAGTGCTGCAGCTGCTCCTATTGCTGTTGCTGCCAGTGCTGTAGCTGCTCTTGGTGCTTTTGTTGCTAGAGCTGCAGCTGTTCCTAGTGCTGCAGATGCTCCTAGCGCTGCAGCTGCTCCTAGCGCTGCAGCTGCTCCTAGTGCTGCAGCTGCTCCTAGTGCTGCAGCTGCTTCTAGTGCTGTTACAACAAGTGCCAGAACACCAAGAACATCTGAGCATGGTGCTCAGTTGGGTAGAAATCCTACCGTTTGTTCTAATCAGCCGTTTTATTTTGGAAAATTATACCGCAGTGTTGAATTCTGTCTCGACAAGATAAGGCGAGACAGATATGTGTGTGTGTAAAGAGCGAATTGGTCATACTCAAATTGGAGGGAAAACCCGTACCGTTTGTGCTTTTCAACACATGAACATCCATCATCTTGACAAGAGCCAAATGCGTGAAATCATTTACGGGTCATTAGAAAAGGAATCTCCCCCACTCTTCGAGGATACTAGCAAGCAACGTTGTAAGGAGCCTCGGAGTCTTCAAGAAAGTTTGCATTGTTGAGGCGAGCGAGGAAGGGGGGCGTCTCTCTCCTGCTATACTTTGAGTTTTACAGTGACACGAGGCTAGTGACACGCACTTCATTACAACGCAATTCGTTTTTCTCTAGCATGGATAAAATTGGTAGTATTGCTGTATTCATCATTAGCCGGATGGTCACTAGGGAAGGTTTGAGAGGGGCGGGGTCGTTCTAGGCCCCCCCTTTTACTGGTGACAGGTATTGGTGACAGGTATTGGTAACAGGTACTGGTGACAGTACCTGTTGCCAGTAAATCTGGCAGCGGAGCAAGCAATGCGTACTGGGAGAAGGTTTGCCATAATACAAGCTATTGTAGATTAGACTAAGCTTGTATTATGATTTTTGTGTGTCCATGTTAGGAGAAATCAGACCATGAAAAATGGCATAAGTGTTCTGTAACACTAAACAACTTTTCTTGGAATTTGCATTTTTTGAAAATATATTTTCTTTCTGGTGTTTTTAGCTTTGACCACTTCCAGGTGTGTGTTTTGAATTGTGTATCTAGTAATCACCCTAGACTATAATTTATAATAATGCTCTCCCTATAACTGTTATCACCTATCATCTTGGGTTAAACCCTCTACCCTCCCCCCTCCTTTAAAAACACTGTCAGGTTCCTCATCAGCCTCGTTATACAGTATACAATATATTATACAATACAGTATACTTGTACTAATATTGATATAGTAGTATATAAATGATCCTCTGTTATTTCAACCCTGTTAAGACATTGTACAGGGAGTTGGCACTCACTCACTCACTCACTTACTCCACCTCCCCCATCCCATCCCCCCACCTTGACACCCCCCTTCCCCATTTCCCTACCTTGATGCTTCCCATCATATACCGTGACATTCCCCCATCACCACCTTGACACACACTGAAGCCACGCTCGTCTTACTCAGTCCATTAAGCGAGGATTTATCCACAAACATCTTGCATCAGTCAATTACTCCACACGTCACCAAACGACCCCAAGACAAGTCTTGTATAACCTTTCGCACAGGTTCATTAATCAAGGGCGTCGATGCCAAATTAAATCATTCGAAATTCACACAATACACGCAAAGGATTCTGCCGTAGAATACCATCCCAATCTACATATTGTACTCCCTAGCAGACGGTAAGACTGAGGACGCCCTCCAGCAGAGGGTAACGAGGACACCCTCCAGAAGGTAACGAGGACGCCCTCCAGGAGAAGGTAACGAGGACACCCTCCAGGAGAGGGTAACGAGGACGCCCTCCAGGAGAAGGTAACGAGGATGCCCTCCAGGAGAAGGTAACGAGGACGCCCTCCTGGAGAGGGTAACGAGGACGCCCTCCAGGAGAGGGTAACGAGGACGCCCTCCAGGAGAAGGTAACGAGGACGCCCTCCAGGAGAAGGTAACGAGGACGCCCTCCAGGAGAAGGTAACGAGGACGCCCTCCAGGAGAGGGTAACGAGGACGCCCTCCAGGAGAAGGTAACGAGGACGCCCTCCAGGAGAAGGTAACGAGGACGCCCTCCAGGAGAAGGTAACGAGGACGCCCTCCAGGAGAAGGTAACGAGGACGCCCTCCAGCAGAAGGTAACGAGGACGCCCTCCAGCAGAAGGTAACGAGGACGCCCTCCAGCAGAAGGTAACGAGGACGCCCTCCAGCAGAAGGTAACGAGGACGCCCTCCAGCAGAAGGTAACGAGGACGCCCTCCAGCAGAAGGTAACGAGGACGCCCTCCAGCAGAAGGTAACGAGGACGCCCTCCAGCAGAAGGTAACGAGGACGCCCTCCAGCAGAAGGTAACGAGGACGCCCTCCAGCAGAAGGTAACGAGGACGCCCTCCAGCAGAAGGTAACGAGGACGCCCTCCAGCAGAAGGTAACGAGGACGCCCTCCAGCAGAAGGTAACGAGGACGCCCTCCAGCAGAAGGTAACGAGGACGCCCTCCAGCAGAAGGTAACGAGGACGCCCTCCAGGACAAGGCAACAACTTCTCCATCACTCTGGCCATCAAGAGAGCCAAGCCACCAAGCTGGGTGTAGCAGGGCGCTACAACAGTGTGACTGCGAGCATATACCCCCAAGGTGACCCACACACACACTCCTGCCACACCTATGTATCAACTCTTAACGGTTCTATCATCTGTCTAACGAGAGAGGAGGAACAAAAAACTAACAGCCCCGAAACGCTGCTAACGTGCGTGTTAGGGTGACCTTGCTAGAAGGTAAAACCAATCACCAATGTGATTGGTGGGCTTTCACAATCCCCTCGTACCTTTTATTGGTTGTAAATGATATTAAATACGCGTATTCTCTTGAGAACCAGTCTATCACTGATGGACCGTACGGGAGGAGATCGTCGCTAAATTAACGCCTCATAAAACAGGGGGGTCAGGCTCTAGGTATACGCACAGCTTGTTAGACTTACGCAAACACAGGTATAACACCAGGGGGGGGGAGGGGGAGAAATGACTAACTTAACCTGGCGACTAAAATGGTAGCAGGAAGGGAGGGGGTGTGTGGGGGATGGGGGGGGGAGACAACCAGCCTCCAACACTCCCCCCTCCACCCTAAGACCCTCAGGGTGGCGTATGACCCGAGCGGGGCAGGTCTTTGTGAGGGGGGAGAGAGGGAGGAGACGGGAGAGAGGGCGGGGGCAGGTAGGTTATTGTCCTCCAGACGCCACCCACCACAACCGCCCACGCCCATGCCCATGCCCATGACTCCATCCGTAACCCTCCGCCCATGCCCTAACCCCTGCCATACCAGTGTCCGTGGTGGTCCAGGGGGCATGCCAGTGGTGGTCCAGGGGGGCATGCCAGTGGTGGTCCAGGGGGGCATGACAGTGCCACAGTGGTGGTCCAGGGGGTATGCCAGTGGTGGTCCAGGGGGGCATGCCAGTGGTGGTCCAGGGGGGCATGACAGTGCCACAGTGGTGGTCCAGGGGGGGGCATGACAGTGTCACAGTGGTGGTCCAGGGGGGCATGCCAGTGGTGGTCCAGGGGGGCATGACAGTGGTGGTCCAGGGGGCATGCCAGTGGTGGTCCAGGGGGGCATGCCAGTGGTGGTCCAGGGGGGCATGACAGTGCCACAGTGGTGGTCCAGGGGGGGCATGACAGTGTCACAGTGGTGGTCCAGGGGGGCATGACAGTGCCACAGTGGTGGTCCAGGGGGGCATGACAGTGTCACAGTGGTGGTCCAGGGGGACATGACAGTGTCACAGTGGTGGTCCAGGGGGCCATGACAGTGCCACAGTGGTGGTCCAGGGGGGCATGACAGTGGTGGTCCAGGGGGGGGCATGACAGTGGTGGTCCAGGGGGGCATGACAGTGTCACAGTGGTGGTCCAGGGGGGCATGACAGTGGTGGTCCAGGGGGCATGACAGTGTCACAATGGTGGTCCAGAGGGGCATGACAGTGTCACAGTGGTGGTCCAGGGGGGCATGACAGTGGTGGTCCAGGGAGGCATGACAGTGGTAGTCCAGGGGGCATGACAGTGGTGGTCCAGGGGGCATGACACTGGTGGTCCAGGGGGCATGACAGTGCCACAGTTGTGGTCCAGGGGGGCATGACAGTGTCACAGTGGTGGTCCAGGGGGGCATGACAGTGTCACAATGGTGGTCCAGGGGGGCGTGACAGTGTCACAGTGGTGGTCCAGGGGGCCGTGACAGTGTCACAGTGGTGGTCCAGGGGGGGCATGACAGTGGTGGTCCAGGGGGCATGACAGTGTCACAGTGGTGGTCCAGGGGGGCATGACAGAGGTGGTCCAGGGGGGCATGACAGTGCCACAGTGGTGGTCCAGGGGCATGACAGTGTCACAGTGGTGGTCCAGGGGGGCATGACAGTGTCACAGTGGTGGTCCAGGGGGGCATGACAGTGTCACAGTGGTGGTCCAGGGGGGCATGACAGTGTCACAGTGGTGGTCCAGGGGGGCATGACAGTGTCACAGTGGTGGTCCAGGGGGGCATGACAGTGCCACAGTGGTGGTCCAGGGGGGCATGACAGTGTCACAGTGGTGGTCCAGGGTGGCATGACAGTGGTGGTCCAGGGGGGCATGACAGTGCCACAGTGGTGGTCCAGGGGGCCATGACAGTGTCACAGTGGTGGTCCAGGGGGCATGACAGTGTCACAGTGGTGGTCCAGGGGGGCATGACAGTGGTGGTCCAGGGGGGCATGACAGTGGTGGTCCAGGGGGGCATGACAGTGGTGGTCCAGGGGGGCATGACAGTGGTGGTCCAGGGGGGGCATGACAGTGTCACAGTGGTGGTCCAGGGGGGGCATGACAGTGTCACAGTGGTGGTCCAGGGGGGGGGGGCATGACAGTGCCACAGTGGTGGTCCAGGGGGGCATGAGTGTCACAGTGGTGGTCCAGGGGGGGCATGACAGTGTCACAGTGGTGGTCCAGGGGGGGGCATGACAGTGTCACAGTGGTGGTCCAGGGGGGGGGGCATGACAGTGCCACAGTGGTGGTCCAGGGGGGGGGCATGACAGTGCCACAGTGGTGGTCCAGGGGGGCATGACAGTGTCACAGTGGTGGTCCAGGGGGCATGACAGTGTCACAGTGGTGGTCCAGGGGGGCATGACATGTCACAGTGGTGGTCCAGGGGGGCATGACAGTGTCACAGTGGTGGTGCAGGGGGGGGCATGACAGTGCCACAGTGGTGGTCCAGGGGGGCATGACAGTGTCACAGTGGTGGTCCAGGGGGGGGGGCATGACAGTGCCACAGTGGTGGTCCAGGGGGGCATGACAGTGTCACAGTGGTGGTGCAGGGGGGGGCATGACAGTGCCACAGTGGTGGTCCAGGGGGGCATGACAGTGTCACAGTGGTGGTCCAGGGGGCATGACAGTGTCACAGTGGTGGTCCAGGGGGGCATGACATGTCACAGTGGTGGTCCAGGGGGGCATGACAGTGTCACAGTGGTGGTGCAGGGGGGGGCATGACAGTGCCACAGTGGTGGTCCAGGGGGGCATGACAGTGTCACAGTGGTGGTCCAGGGGGGGGGGGCATGACAGT